CGCCCCGGTTCCTTGAGCGCTGCGCCCCGCGGGGGGCCGGGGATCGGGATGGAGGGGAGAGGGCTGTTGTTTGTCTTTCCCCCCGGGTGACTTTGGGGCGGGGGCGCCTAGTTGCTGCCACTTTCTTCCCCACTTTCGGAAAGGACGCGGAGCCGGCTAGCTTATCCGAGCTAATTCACGGCCTTTGCACGAATGTGCTCCGCCCGAGAGGTAATAAATAAGAGTTCTGAGTCCTGTTCGGCTCCGCGCACCCCCTGGATTTAACCCTTTGCCGGAGTGAGCCGGGGCGTGCGTGGGGCGCGACTGCGGGTGTGCTAGGGATGGTTCAACGCGCAGCTCGTCGAGGGTTAGCCGGGAGCCGCGGGGCGCGTTTGCTGGCGCGGCTGCACCCCCGCGCCGGGCCCGCCGCCCCGGAATTGCGCGGTTGGTTGGTGGACCGCGTCCCGGTTTTCTCCAACCACGGGGCCCGCCTGCACTCCGGCTCTCCCGGGGAGAGTGCGCGGCGCAAGGTGATGTTTTTCGAATTGTGGCTAACGGAGCTCCCGGGACACCGGACTGCGAACCCCTGATTGGCTGGAAGGAAGCGGGGTTGGGCGGGGGTGGGGGGTGGGGGGGTGCTTGAATCCTAGATAATAGTTCCCCACTTTGCGAAAAAAATCGTACTTTGGGAGCACCATGGGAATGGGTGTGAAATGTTAAAGCGGGGGTAAAAATTTTGCAAAGCTTTTGCACAGTATCAACGCATTGGGAACCTCGCACTAGTAAATAAAATCCACAGCTTTCCAGAGTCTTTTCCTATAAATGCGATGCTAACTACGAGGGAGATTTTGGTTTTAGATTTGGGGCATTGAGTAGTATTTGTTTTCACCTTCCATAAAGGACTTTCAGATGTCTCTGAAATGCTGTATTAAAAGTCAAACGGCGAGGGTGGGGGGAGGGTGTAGTTTTCGCAAAATTGTAATCCTCCTGACTGAAATTACGAGATTCGTGTTTTTCTGCTCCTGTTCCCTATTGGTTGAAAACGAATGTAGAATTTAGATTTTTTGTTTCCCCTCCTCCCTTTGGCAGAAATTTTTTTCTCTTCATGTATTTTTATTAGATGCAGATTACGGGAGAATTCCTTTTTCTTTGATGAAAAAACCCCTTAATTTTCTTAATGTTAAGAACGAGGTTTTCTACATTTTCCATGTAAGTTGGCTGTATTTCTAAAACGCTTTACATCTAATTTAAGATACAAAGATTTTATTAATTTAACCATTGCACTGGACTAAAACTATAGTTTACAGGAAATCTAAGTTGCTTAATTTAGACAATACAACAGGTAAGTATGCACAGGTGTGTATACGCGATTTTGTTCCTTTGATTACGAAGAAATTTATTCCACATAACTAGGTTTTATGTTGATTTTTGTTTACTGTTTGAGACAGTCGTCAACATATTTCTCTTAACAAACTTGTCATCCATTTAATTGCATCTTGATAAAAGTCAAGTGTGGTTTTCAAAGAAAAGCCAGTAAGTTGGTAAATTTTTTTTTAAATTTTATATAATAGAAATGAATAGTAGCTGAAATTTTGTTTTCTCACGTTATGTCAGATAAGCACTGTAGAAAATTTTCAAACGAAAACATTCTGTGATTCCTACATCTCTGTAGGACTATAAATCTAATTTATGTTAATAAGTGGAATAGTTTAGCTTGTAAATCATTCTATTAGCATTGCCTTCATACAGGCATTGCAATTACAGAGGCTCAGTTATCTTTTTTCCAAAAAAAATCTTTATTTTGAATTCTCATGAAAATTCCATAAAAGGCACCAATTATCCTTTATACAGTTTTTTTTTTTTTTACTGAAGTTGTAGGAGATTGTTTTCTACTTTAAATGCAATTTTACCTACAATACTTAAACTAGTCAGGTTTGTTTCTGTACTGTTCTGTTTCAGATTTCATATTAGTTTATGACTTAGAGAGTTTTGAGGAGGGTGAGTTAGAGGGAGCCTTTAAATTCCATCGTATTATAATATTTACCAATTCTTTTGTGCTTTGATTTATGAGTTTTTTGTTTGTTTTGAGGGTGATGAATGAAGAATGGTTTAATAAGCCATTTTTAAAAGAAATGAAGGATTACTTTTAAAATACTGCTCTTAAAGCTTTAGAGCTCCTAAGTAAATAAAGTCCACAACATACAAAATATTTTCATATATAAATGTGATGCTAAAGATGAGGGACAGTTTGGTTTTAGATTTGTGGACATGGAATAAGTATCAGATCGAACAATAATAATAAATATATTATTATTACCCATGTCTGTTAAACTGATAGTTCTGTTTTATTTCCTTTTGTAAGAGTTACAAAAGTCTTGTATTACCACAGGAAAACAATTTTGGGGTAAGGTGCTACTACAGTAACTTGTCTCCTTTAAAGCTGGACTCACATAATTTCAGGGTGCAGAAAACCAGAGAAGACCAGGTATTAGCCTCATTTGTTTACACTCTGGATGGAGGGTGTAGTTGGGGATCAAACCCAGGGCCTCAGACATTCCGAGTGAACTAGCCCCTGCCCTTCACACTTTTTTTAAATACAAGTAAAAGTGTATTTTTAGATAGTTTTACTGCTAACTTTTCAATGTTGTATATTTACAAATTGTAGCCTTACTTTTTATGTGTAACACTGCAGTTTCTCCTAATTTGACTAATACCAGTTTCAGTATTTATCAAGAACTAGAGCTAAGGATGAAATTTTTTTTAAAGACTTTGTAATCTGGATCCCTTGTATTCATTATGCTTTGTGTAGCATTTTTGTTTTTTGTTTTGTGGCCATATATATTTTTATTTCTGCTTATTGGTATGTAGTAATTCCCCAGAATGTCACAAAGTAATTCAATCCAGAAGTACTAATTTATTATTTGGTTTACCAAATTAACTGGTAATAAAATTAGCAAAAAAATGTTTTAAATGCCCAATGACTATATTAAATATTTCTTGTACATGGTACATATACTTTCTCCAATTAAAAAACTCAATTGATGATAAATTTAGTTTGAAATCCTACTCTATAAAAAAATTCATCTCATTTTTAAATATTGCTCACCTAAAATTAACTCTTGTTTATTAATGAAGACCCACATTAGTTTAGTTTATTTTAACCATTTTAATTTTTTTTAGAAATAACAGATTATTGGTTTGATTATAACTAGAAAATACATTTTAGATGGGATTGCTATATAAAAGTTAGTAAAAGTGCAGTTTTTAAAAAATAAAATTATTCAACAGACCGAGAAACACTTTTTACCAACCAACTAATTTCGATGTATAATTAGAACTCAGATTATGACTTTCTGAAATTTGGTTACCCTAAATCTCTTAATACTACAGGAAATCAATAATAAACTACTAGTTTCTTATAAATAAGTGATGAAGATGTAATTTTTTTTCACATACTTACGAACGACATTAGAACTTTAATAATCATCTTAATATAATGAAAGTAACAGGTCAGTTTTAGAATCTCATTATGAATATGTATGTGTTTGATTAGTTGTATATGCAAGTGACTTAGAGCTTTCCTATAAGTATAGTTCTCAGTGAGGAAATTATTTTCTTTCACTATTTCTTTTATCCCCTTTTTCTCACCTGATTGAGAGAAGCTTTAAAGGCTCTTTTAGAAAGGCAAACTTGGATATTACAGTTGATATTAATGTTTTTTATTCTCTTTTTCTTATGATATTTGAAAGATTTAATGTACTTTTGTTTACTTATTTTTTCTCTAGAGAATGTACTGCAAAGACCTGACATAAGTTTCAAGTATAATTACAAATAATAAGCTATATCTTATAATAAATAAGTTTTTTTTATATCATCATATACATTGTGTACTTTATTTTCTAGTATGTTTTGTTTCCCTACTACTTAAAAACACTTCTCTTGGAGTGCTTACTGGCTTCTAATATATTCTCTGATTTTAAAAATACCTTCACTTTCAGTGTGCTCAAATATAAATGTACATAAAGCTGAGGAAGCTTTATATGTTCTTGAGAAAGACTGGATAAGATCTTAATCTATTTAAGGGCATGATATTTGGATTTGTTTGTGAAATAGATTTCGTGGGGTTTGTCATTAAACAATCAAATATTTGACAGCAGAGAAATAAAGTGTTTGACTTTTCTTCTAAACTTTTAAAGTGGAAAACTCAGCATTGTAGTGTGCATTGAGTTTATATTACAAACATTTGATAATTTGATAACAATATTTTTATATAGTTTATGGGATGAAAGTTTCAGGAGAAACATGGAGGTGTTTACATACATACTTATATGCATTTGGCTACATCACCTCTCCTTGGAAACATTGAAAAAATGTAAAGCCATCTGTTAATTGCCAATATTTGCTTCAAAAGTAAATTCTAAACTTTGTTAAATTGGAGCTGTACTATCTTAAAATATTTAGGAAATGGCAGTGTTATTATTCACTTAAGCGTACCAAAGACTAAAGTTGAAAATTATAACCATCTCTGGCATTAAAGCATTTGATTTATTGGGGAGGGGGAATTATTAAAAATTTCCCTCTATCTCTTGAGTAGTTTTTTATACCGTGAGTTTTGAATTTTTGAAATAAAAATTATGATTCTGGTCATTTTCTTAGGAAGTTAAACTTTACTGGTCCTCAAATAGCTCTTTCTCCCGTTCTCTTGCTCCTCTAATTCTCACTCTCACCTCTTCTTCTCACCCCCATTGCTTTGAAATGAATGCCCTAAAGAGAAATGAAAGCAGAAACATACTAATCTGATTTGTTTGAAGAGGCCTCGGATGATAAAGCATATCACAGGTGTTTCTAATCAAGTTATTTCTATTTAAAAAAACATTTTTAAGTTAGGACTTTGAACATAGGCAAGATTGGGGTCATTTTAAAGACCTGACCTCTGTGTCAGGGATCAGCTATGGAACTGCAGGAGGCGGAAATCTGTTGAGTATCTTCATGCTATATAATACATGACATTTTTATTGCAGGTTTTGACCTTTAGGAGAGAACCAGTCTGGAGAACAACCTAACTTCTTTGATTGAACACTCACATAATGCTTTGGAACATTATAGGAGATTAAGGTATACTAATGAATTTTTAAAGCATGTATTTTTGCAGTATAATTGATCTAGACAATAAAGATAACAGCTTGTGAATTAGATCAATAAAGTATTAATAGAAATACAAAATAACCAAAGTTGAGCTATCTTTTTAAAACTTTACTATTTCATTCAGTTGATTCTCATCATCTTGTATTAGGTCCAGTTCTTTATTTTGAAACAAAGTTTATATAGTGATTTTTCTTCTTAAGGGTGTTAGCAGTGTGATATGCAAATTAATGTGGATTTTTTTTCCCCCCTGTATAAAGTAGGTGCTTTAAAGCAAGTAGATTTTGGTGGTTCACTGTTTAACAAGGTCTAGTGGTAGGCAGAGTCTGCAAAATTGTATGAAATTAATGAGAATTTAAAGTGTTCCAGACCCATCCTGTCCAAAAGTGGCAATGTAGTTTAAACTGTATCTTATTCAGTATGCTGAGTAAAATATATAACATTTTTTGGCAAAAGTTACAAATACATTAAAAATTCTAGTGACTTTAAACTCTAAAGTACTTCATCAAAGAACCATATTTATCACTTTTATTTACTTTGATTTTTATAGTTTTAGTTGAAAAAGTCAGATATTGATCCAATAATTTTTCAGTGGCACTTGAGTAATACTTTTTTTAATTTGTAATTAAATTACTTATAATTAACCAGATTATTGATTAAATTTTATCATGAATTTGTCACATGGTTAATGTGTAAATATAATAGTGTATTAATGCAATGTTAATGTTTTTAAAGCTAATTACTAAAATGAGGCTTACCGAAATATGGTACATTTTCAAAAAAAGTTTTATCCACTAAGTGTTTCCACCTAAAAATATTTATATTAGGTACCGAAGATGAAATCAGAAAAGGATAAATTAGTCTGTGAGCAGAACCATTTTTATCTTTAATAATTTTAAAGGGGTTTTAAAACGTTTGAACACTGCAATAAAATTAAATTTAAAAGTTAAAAACTATTAGACATTGAAATATATATCAAAGTACTAAAAAAAATTGTACTCTGTATTAGGGATCAGAAAAATCTGGAATATGTGAATTCCTTAATATTTGAGATTAAGTAAAATACTAAAACTTAATAGAAATAATTCAGGTTGAAGTTCATTTATTAGTGTCATAACACTAAGATCTGAGATATTTACAAGCTATAAAATGCATGATTTTTATTTGAGAATGTTGTTAAAAATTAAGTTTTAATAGAATGAAAATATTCTATTAAATTATCTCCCTCTAACTTAATTAATGTTTTTTTAGGATAGATACTATTAAGAATAAAAGTGGAAAATGAGATTTCTGAGTATCTAAAAAAGAATTCAGGTTCCATTTATCACTTTCAATACAGGTATTTGTAAATACAGTCTTAATGAATTAAATAGATGTGAGACACCTTTTAATTTATATTATAAATTCAGAAATCCAGAGTTGCTCCTGAATTACAGAGGTTATGATTTATGATTTGTTCAGATATAAATATCTAACTTAAAATTTCCCCCTCTGTAACTACAAACTGACTAATAAACCTTCTAATGTTTAGTTTACTGCATAACATCTAAAAGAATCCAGACAAATACTGTTTTTATTAATAATTTCAGTTTTCTTTGGTAAGTTCTTGCAGGATAAGAAGCTTTAATTACTATGTGTTATTTTAGGTGATAAGTTCATAAGAGCTTGTACAGTTATGTGTAATAACTATTCTTTATCCCTTAAGAAAATTTTGTGAGGATTTTGATTGTTTTAGATTTGCAAACCTGATTCTCTATAATCCTTAATATGAGTTCATTATGATAAGAGTATAGGGGAAAGGATTTATTACGTTAACATTTTTCAGTGATTTTAAAATTTGGTTTTGGTTAAATGTATTTTCAGGACTTAAATACCATTTATTTTCAGGAAAAAATTCTTAGTTGCTCCTAAAATATAGTTGTACTATCACGGTTCCTGTTTTGTTAAAATAGCTCTCTCTCCCTAGGAGGAAAATAAGTGAATAAACTAGAGATAATTTAACATAACTATGTATGGAGAAAGTTTAAATTATTTATCATTGATATGTTATGCTAGTTTATAAGAACAACTTATTTTAATAAAATTTGTCAATGATAACAATTATCTTTAACAGAAATGTGATGTATTGCTGAAGATTCATTAAAGAATAGATCCCTAGGTTATTTGGAGCTTTTTATGTGTGTATATTTCATGTGCTTTCTCTTGACTAGCAAATTTATCCATTAATCCATTCCTATTAAAGACAATGCATCAGAATTATATTTTCTGGTAGATATTTTCAAAACTGTATTTTAAGAATTTAACTTTCAATAGAATTTGAGTTGTTTTATATTAAAATGAGGATTAAAAATTTTTTTAATAAATATTTTGAAGTAGGAATTTTATTCTCAATACAAACTTTAATATTATTAGCATAATTTGGGCTGTTTTAATCTTCTGTGTTCATGGTTAGAATCACTTGGGCAGAAACATGCAGCATGACTCAAGTGTAGTTGCTAAAACTTATAATTATTCCTAAATATTTTCATTAAAAAGAAATCTTTGAACATTGTATAACTGAAACTTGATTATGAACAGTCTTGTAACTATGTATCTCATGGTGATTCAATTAAAATAAACGTTGATATTTGTTTTTATTGCATAGCTTTTTATTATGTTAATTTTTTAATGCTGTGATCTTTAGAATTATTTCATCTTAAGCAAAAAACTTTTTCAGTTTGAACAACGGGAGGACAGTGATAAAAATAAGATAAAAAATGGGTTTTTCTTTTTACAAAATATCTGAATTTCAAAAGAATTGCTTTTAAATTTCAAATTAGGTTTTTTAAATAGCATCTCATTTAAATCTAAAACTAAAAACAAATATTCCTATTTCTGTTACTTGTCAACCGATACTTAGGTTTTGCTTCATATTTTGTTCAAAGTAGGCAAGTCACGTATAAATTTTTTTTTTTAGTTTGGAACTTTGTAAAAATTTTATGGACTAAACTTTGTTTCTTTGGTAATAGGGTCTGGTATCAGACATTTGGTGCTGACTGGCTATATGAAACCTGGGAGATCAGAGCTTTCTATAAGCAAGATATATTTTATTCCTTGATTAGAGTTTAGATATTTTCATATTTTCCAGCTGAATAGTTGAGGAAAAAAACTAAATTCTAAGAATGTTGATAATTGAGCACAATTTTATCTTTTCTCCCCAGCCTGCTTTTTAAAGGAAAAAAAATTAATTGAATAATTTTATCATAGCAGACTTGCTAGGTAGGTTGAGCTGAACCATTTTTTCCCTGTGTGCAAACTGCACATGCTTTCCTCAGCTTGCTACTTCAACAACAGCAGCAGCAGTGGTAAATAAACAAACATCACCACAGTCCTGTTCTTATCCCTTTCAGCTGGGAGCAGAGCCTAGGAGATTGCTCCTGCTTGTCAGATGTTGTGCAGAATAGCTTTTATATACAATAATCCTGGTCAGAACACCAGCTTTTACACAGAGTAGGAATCACCCAACTGTCAGTGTAACATATAGAGTATAAACACATTCTTTGATAAAATACTGTTTTCTTCCTCGGGCAGCAAGAAGAGAACAGTAGCTGTTTATAGTTCTTAGACTCATTCGCTTTTTTTTTTTTTTTTTTTTTTTTTTTCCCATTTTGGGTCTCACCCGGTGATGCACAAGAATTACTCCTGGCTCTGCAGTCAGGAATTACTCCTCTCGGTGCTCAGGGGACTATATGGGATGCTGGGAATCGAACCTGGGTTGGTCGTTGTAAGGCAAACACCCTACCAGCTGTGTTATAACTCCAGCCCCTAGACTCATTAGTCTTTTTTTTTTTTTTAATTTTTATTAGAGTCTTATTCTTTCTACTGATTTTTTTCCCTCCCTGTGGTTTTAGTTTATTTGATTTTGATAGTTTATTCTCAGTTTCAGTGAAACTTTTTGTTTTGGGTGGCATGTTTCATGTTTTTCACTTTTAAACTGATAAGACTGGAGAAATAGATAATTCATTGATGATAACACATTAAATAATATTGAGAAAAAATAATTGACCGTGGCCACACAGGAATGTTTCTTTCACTTTGGCATCATATTCTGTACTCCATTACTTTCAGATAATAGTCATCTAAACAGTCAAATTCTTGTTGATATTATAACTAAAAAGATCATACAATTGTATTAAGTGTGTACATAAAGGTGGAAATGCATAAGTATTTTTTCCCTCACTGTTAACATAATAGTCTTATGTCCAGGAAATTTGGCTTATTTTAAATTTTTTGGAAATAGGATTTTGTGGTTTCAAGTGTTCTAATTTTTATTATTTGCACAGATGTGCTTAGCCTAATATTTGCTTTTCTTTTGTATCTAAATAATTCAAATAGATTGCAGTTCAGGGGACTGAATTTTGGATCTTTACTAAAGTTCTAATTTCATTTGTAACGTTCTTGGTGGAGACTACAAATAAGGGTTCAGGGAAATAGACCAAAAGGCAAATCTCATGTTTCGCGTGCCCAAGGCAGAGATTCAGTTCCAGGGGCAGCATGGCCCAAGCACCAAGCCACCCAACCAGGAGTAGGTAGCCATTGAGCACAGCCAGGTGTGGGCCAAGAAAATAAAACTTTTAGTGAATAAAGCCTTAAAGACCCAATTTAAAGTCTCATGTTTGCAAAAACATTAAGAGAAACTGTAGTTGTTCATAATTTTCATTTAATTCTGCCCATATTACTTCTGCTCGGTGTTTTCCCTTGCCCCAGTCATAGTAAACTCAAAATACTGGTTACCTACTATTATTATCTCCATATAGATTAGTTATACTGTGTGCTTAATTAATTAAAATAACAAATGACCCACAACTTTGTCTAAAGTGAAATTAAACATAATTCAAACAAATGGAAATTTTTTGTTTTGCTAAAACTCGAATGTATTAATAATGTAACTTATCAGGTTAATATACTAGTAACTTGCCCTGAACCAAAAGTATATTACATAATTCTTTTTATTGAAAACAGCTTGCTTTTACTATTATTTACTGTGTAAATAAACCAGAGTATCTAGGTTAGCAAGATAACCTACACTAAGGCATATTTTTCCAGATATGTTAAATCAGAATCTTTGGGAGTAGGACTTGGGAATTTGTGTTTTTAAAAATTGAGTTTTTCAGAATCAACATGTATGAAGTACTGCCCAAAATAAAAGGGGTGAGGGTTTTTCACAGTAAATCATTGCTAGTTTTTGCTTTTTTTTTTTCTCTTTAAACCTTTGGCCATTGTGGACCTAAGCTTAGTGACTAATAACAAATCCTAGATTTTTTTTTTTAAACCTCAGCAGTTGTAGTTTAATAGCATTATTTTCTCAGTCCAACGGGGAAAAAAATACAAAATCAGAACTTCAGTGTCTTAGGCTAAAATTTTGTCTGTTCTATTTGCTTGACCTACATTGTACTCATAATCGATGAAAACAAAAGGAACAATTACTTTAGATTTTTCCTTCTGTTTTGTGGGCCACGCTCTACCCTTGGTGTTTAGGCTGACTCCTGTTTGTGCTGGGGACACTCTAAGGTGCTGTGAATTGAACCGGGTCAGCCACATATAGAGCAACATGCTCTATTCTCTACCCACTGTACTATTGCCCCAGCCCCACTTAAGAATTTTTAAGGGTCAAGGATGTAACTGAGTGATAGAGTGCATACTTAGCATATACAAGCCCTGGTTTCAATATCTGTTATACACATATTAAAATTTCATTTTAGATTAAGCTATTCTTTATTATTCATCCAAATACAGAAAACATACAGAAAATGCTATTCATATACTGCTTCTGGGAGCACTTGGCATTATTGAGGATTTATATAGATATGAACCCAGTAATTTCTAAATATTCTAGACAAATTAAGATATGAAGGCAATGTCTTTTTTCCATAAGGAAAGAAGTATTGATAAGGCAGTATTAATCTTAAGCAACAGAAGTTTTGGGGAATTGTGGATTGTATTTTTTTATGCTACCATTAAAATGAAAATTATGTGCATCATGAATATAACTAATTTAGGAAATAGTTGCAAATATATGCATAGTATAACTTAAAAGATGTTTATGTGATAACAAGAAACATAAAAGCAGTGATATTTTAAATACTTGAGTTTGTAGTATAATGTAAAAGCATACATTGTAGATAAAATCAAATTGTGTATTTTGGTTGTATCTTAGGAGAGGAAATGGGATCGGTATGATACAAAAGGAACTAGTGCGTGGAGTTCATGCCCAATTCAATCAGCCTAATCAATGCCTGAGTAAATAGCAGTACTCCTACATTAATTTTTTTTTTAAAAAAGGAACGTGTGTGTGTGTGTGTGTGTGTGTGTGTGTGTGTGTGTGTGTTTCTTAAAGAACATAAAGCAGAAGTGAGCATGGTACTCCTGGTAGTGCTGGCGGTACCATATGGGATGCCAGGAATCAAAACCAGGTTGGCCACTTGCTAGGCGAGCATCCTACCCACTGTACTATCACTCCAGCCTCTTTACTGGTGAAGATAACTTAGAGTAATATATACTTGGAAGATTCCACATTAGGATCTTAGTTGGCTTTTTCTTTTCTATGTCATACAGCAACAATACCAATGTGTCACTTGGTATAAAAAAAATGATAGCTTATAATCATGGTACACAAAAATCAAATATAAAGTTCCTAGGATATTTTTTAATTTACAGTTGAGCTTAAATGTTTTCATCCTCTTCATACTGGCATTTAATCCTTTCTACTCTTAAAGGCCAAGAAAACGATTTCTCTTTTCTTAATTATTATTCATTCCTTAATCTCATAATTCAGCCAATTTATAAGTATTTTCTTTGTTTTTGACGTAGATCACAATTTCAATTTCTTCATGCATTTTAGCCTCCAGCATAAATTTTTTATTTATATGGTATTGTAAAATTACTGGAAATGGACAATGTGTGTATTTAATATTTTCAATTTATCTGTAATGTATGTACTTACATGGAAAAAGATTGCTTGTCTTGGAGAATGATCTTGAATTTATCTTAAAATACCTGCAATAATTTCATGTCTTCTGGAAACTCAACCTAGACTAGCCTTTCTCAACTGAAGACCATATAGCCCCCAGAGGGTCTTTATATAGCAAAGAAGCGAAAGATAAAAAAAAAATCAAATAAAAGGGAGGCAATAGCATGAGACTACAGGGCCAACCGATGTCAGAGGGATCACAAGGAGGAAAGAATTGGGATGGGTTTGTGATCAGTTCCAAAATATATAAATGCTGCTTATACATATTTTATAATCATAATTTTTCTGACTATATAATAATTAGAACACAGTGATTGTCAACCTTAATTGAAAATTTTCTATCTTAAAGTTACCAAGATTTTCAGTTTTTATTCTTGTCGTTTCCCTAGACTTGATAAGAGTAGAATGAAGACCATTATTAAACAATTGCTCCAGCAATTCTTACCTTGTAAGTATTAACTCTCGGCCCTTCTACCATTATGATAAAAGTTTCTGTTTTGTTTTTTACTTCTAGATACTTTTTAAAAAATTATTTTAAAGTTACATTTTTATTTGGTGATGGGGTGCTAACTTATACCAGCATGGCTCTCATAGACTATTGGACAATCTACTTTGTCCTTGAATGATACCTTTCTAACCTCTTACTCCTTTTACATTAAAAGTTTAGTGTTAATTTAATGCAGTTCAAAACATAATTACTGGAAAGTGTTTTATATTCATACTCTATTACTCTTTAGATCTGAAAGTCAGGGGTCCTTTAGGAGGTACAGAAAGGCACTAGCCTTGCACACATCCAACTCTAATTTAACCACTGATGCTTGCATTTGATCTCTTGGTGTAGCCCTAAAAACAAACAATGGCCCAAAAGTAGTTTAAAACTTTTTGTCTTCAAAGAAGTTCATAAACAATACCATATTTGTAATCTTCATTATTCATGTTTATTGACAATTATTTCTGGTTTTATAAAACGAAGGCATCAATTTGATAAGTCGTTTTTTGTTTTTGTTTTTTTTTTCATTAATTTGTTTTTACATTTCAGTAGACTGCAATTCAGACTCCTTAGTGAGGTGCAAAACTTTAGGAAAATCGGCAATTCCTTTCTTCAATTCCAATATGTATACTTGGATACCTTTTTCTTGGAATATTTATTTTATCCAGATTTATTTCAGTTTTGACAGACTTTGTTTCTCACTGAGAAACCAAATTCTGTGGGAGTAATTTTAATAGATTAGTTGAAATTAATATACCCCTAGAAGGACTTCAATCAAGGTCAAGTAAATATACAAGATACTTGATATCCTAAAATCAGTTACCTAGGATTCATTTCCACATACTCCTTTAGCTAATTCAGCATCCCTAAAAGAATTGAGTATGGTTATTTCTGTTCTTGATTTTATGGGGTGACCCTGTTTATTTTTTTAGTTGAGATTTTATGGTTTACAGTACTATTAATGGTTTCTCATGCACATTATTCCAACATCACACCTATCACCAGTGTATCCATCTCCCTCCCTCAAGGACCCCCAACACCTTTACCTCCTTCCCTCCAACTCAGTTCTCCATTTTGTTGAGGATGGCCCTGTTTGTTTCTTTTTGGGCCACACCCAGCAGTGCTCAGGGCTTACTCCTGGCTCTGCACTCAGCATCACTTCTGATAGGTTCAGGGGACCATATGGGATATCAGGAATGGAGCCCAGGTCAACAGCATGTAAGGCAAATACCCTTACCCACTGTATTCTCTCCAGTCATGGGGTTGCTTCTCTGTTTAAATAGAAACTAGTATTGTACCCGTTTTTGGGGAGGGCCGAGGCTGGTGGGTTAAGGCATGCCTGTCAGTGCTCAAAGCTTACTCCTGGCTCTGCACTAAGGGATCTCTCCGGGTGGGGGAACCATATGTAGTGCCAGGGATCAGATCCAGGTTGGCCATGTACAAGGCAAGCATTGTACCCACTATACTGTCTCTCTGGCCCCTAACAGGAAAACTTAATGATGAGCAGTATGAGGAGTGGTAGCTAGATGCCACAGGTCACTTTTTCTAATTTTTAGCCTTAATATTTTTGTCTCTGGAAATCTAGAATGGAAACACTTGCAAGTCCCCAAAGAATTCTATATAGTCCAGAATTATATTTCTTAATTGGTCCCTTGGAAGCCAACTCAGCTTAACTTCAAATTTAACTTAGTATTACACCCTGTTATAAACTGGAGGGTTTTCTACTTTTTCAAAAGATAGAGGTATCTTTTCACTTTCAACATATAAGCAGATTCTTAACCTCATTTTGTAAATTTGTAAGAAAACAACCTACATACACTCCAGCATATTTTTGACATGGCTTTTGCTGTTTTTTAAGGCTTGTGTTGTCTGGAATTCCATTTTATGGAGTTCCAGGCTAAGTAGCATGCCTGGAATTCCATTTTATTTTAGACATTAAAAATGATAATGTTTTTAGTTGATACCCAGAAAAATAGATAAATCATAACAGTAGTCATTGATTGTGTTAAGATGGTGTTCCTTCTCATTTTTTCCTATGCTTGTTTAATGACATTATTTCTTTAATATAGGGATTTTTCCCACCAGCCGAGAGTGAGGTTTCCTTTTTTCACCACATCCCCAACCAATACTGGTTGTTTTCAGACTTTTTGATATAAACCATTCTTTCTCCATTAAAAAATTAAAAAATGATATATATGTATATAAATATCGACTTTTAATAACTTTTTGTAGAAAGAAAATATTCCACATAGTTAATGCTGTTAAACAACAGCAGAATTTTGCCTTTGGTTTTACAAATTGAGTACAGATGAGTTTTGTGGTGGAAAGGGCCTCCCAGGAAGTGTTCAAGAAGCCTGAAACCACTGCCAGTTACACCCAGCACTGCCTGATATGCCTGCTGGTATAGTGCTGAGAGGCCACCAGGGCTACCCTTGTGGTGTTTAGGGGTCTGTGGTATTTGTGATCGAGCTCAGGGCCTTGAATATTTAACCCAGTCTCAAAGCTCCAGCCCTTTGAGCTATCTTCTGGTCCTGAAATATTTTTCAAATTACAGCCATAAACTTTTATTGCTTAACAGAAAACATTCACAAATAGTCATATTTTTTTCCTTGTTTGCCCTCTTTTTCTTAATTAAACTATGTTTAGATTTTTCACATTACATTTAGGGATTAATAGTTTCTGTAATATGATTTTAAAATAGCAGTATATATACTTTGGTGTAAATAAAATAACTTCTCTAGGTGTTTGCCAGAAGTTAAAATCATTGCTTCTTTTTAGTCTACAAAAATAGAAATCTTAAGACACTTTCTATAAAATAAGAAATACTGAGGCCAGAGAGATAGTATAGCTATCTGAGAAGTGACTGCATTGGCCCCACTAGAACTGACTTTTTTTAGAACTGACTTTTAGAACCATTACAATATCTACAATGTAGTAGGTGTTCAATAAAATCTTTGCTAAAGCGAAAAAGATAAAATTTGAAAATGTTTTGTTTAAACTTTTGTCCGAAAAACAGGTGTGAGTGACAACAGGAATACATGCTTTAAACATTTCTCAATTAATTGCAAATATTTCTTTTCATTACACATTTTAAGTTCTGTAGAAACTTTAGGCAATAGAGTAATATGTGAAACATGAACTGCTTGGATGAGCTACATAAAGTTAATGGTGAAGATTCATAAAAACTGATGTGGAATATTAGAATGGAGAGGCTAATTTCAGTGCACATCACCATAAATTGTAAAATAAAATAAAACTAACTTCAGCATAACCTTTTTTTTTTCTGCTTTTTTTGGAGGAGGGGTTCACACCCGATGATGCACCGGGGTTATTCCTGGCGGTGCTTAGGGGACCATATGGGATACTGGGAATTGAACCCGGGTTGGCCATGTGCAAGGCAAACACACTACCTGCTGTGCTATCACTTCAGCCCCTAGCATAGCCATCTGAATGAGAAAAATGGTGCAAAAGTGGTTGTCGGGGCTCAAAAATCATGACATTTTTGTTACCTCTTGAGAAGTAATTTTCTCTTAGGTAGAAACTGTTATGAAGTGTACTTTCCTGGTAAAAATACAGATTGGTAATAGGAAAATTAATGAGCAGTACAGTACTGTGCCTTTTTTAATCTCTCATATCTGTATACAAAGTTAACTCATCTTTCCAAAGTTTCACTCTAAAATTATATGAAAGTATAACAGCTTTTTGGGGAGCAAATCTTCTTATTTATGTCATTTTGTTTTTATTTTATGGCAGCAGAAATTAAACCCAGTCTCCTGTATGCATATTCATGTGTTTTGCCCCTGAGCCATATCCCCAACCCAAAGGTGTTTTTTTTTTCCTTTTTCATTTTGTGCCACACCCTGCGATGCTCTGGGGTTATTCTTGTCTCTGCACTCAGTACTTACTCCTGGTGGTACTGGGGGGGACCATATTAGGATGTCAGGGATCGAACCTGAGTCTGCCACATGCAAGGCAAACACCTACCTGCTGTACTATTGAGCTGCCCCCCTCCACCCCAAAGTGATTTTGACTTAGTAATTAAACCAAAATAAAGGTGAATGTTGAGGGTAAAATAATTTAGCTATTTCAAGCCAATTAAATGAAAATTATTTTGTTTGAGATTTTTTTGAATAATTTTACCTTAGGATAAAAAGGTACATTTGTGTTTTGCTGGTTAAGTTTATCGAAACTGAGCTCTTGTATGTCATTTCTTTTTTTTTTTCCCCCTTGACATGAAGTCTACTACTTGATGAAGATATCTTTTTTTACTGCAAGGAATGAGATGCTGTTTGTGAATTAAACTTTTGTCAAGGTAAAGAGCAGATTTTATCAATTTTGTTTATGTAAGAGAAAATGTAATACATTTAAAAGTCGGGTTAAATAGCTTTATTTACATACTTAAGCTGATACTTTCTAGTAATACTTTTCCTTTAATTATACACCTTTGTATATATTCTGACATAATGTGGTAGGCAACGTGCATGGCATGTATTAGGTTTAGCTGAATTTGAGGTAGAAATAAATTTTACTTTGCTATTTAAAAATTTCTCATTAGTGCATACTACAAGAACCTTGGATCTTCAAACATGGAACTATTTAATGTATCTTATCCTCTTTGTTTTAAAAGAAAGAAAACATTTTGTATCCTTAGGTATTTAAAAAAAAAAACCTTGGAGTAAAGTAGCAGCACATAATGGTTTGTGGATTTTGAAAAAGTGCAGGCCATATTGTGCTGCCTCAAAAATACAAGGATCTGATCTTCTGAAGAAAATATGTTTCTTTTTGTTCGTAGCTCTTTGATAGCCATGTCAGCAGTGCCTTAGCAGCACGTAAATATTGGCGTTAAAATCTAAAATTATCTCCAGTATTAACTGTGCTGCTGAAGTAAGGTTGGCTATACTCTACATTTTTGCTTTAATATATGTAGGTATTGCTAAATATGTTTTTAGAGTTATTAAAAATGTTATCTCCAGCATTACTGACAATTGTTAGTCTGAATCTATAAAAATGTTAGTGCTAAATTTATTTGTGTTGTGTATTGCAATTAAACAGTGATGTTTAGTGTCATCAAGAATTTACTTAAGTTTACATATCAAAAAAGTTTAACTTACATTTGTATTTAACATACTCAGATTTTTACTTAATACAAAGATAGTTTTCCCTCTGTTCCTGCAATAAGGTACTTATTTCAATAATACATTATAAAATAAACAATCAGAATTTATAAAATAATTTTTAGTTATTTTTAAATATTTTATCATAAAAAAGAAAGTGTCAACTCATAAATAATAAATTCCTGAAATCTTTGTTCTCAGAATGTCTTTATTCACAATTTTAAAGGTGGGAAAAACTTTACAGTTAACCAGTTTATTGGACTAGCAAGGAAACGGGAGCTCAAGTGACTGGTACACACAAGGAATTCTGTGATGTATTATCTAATTCTATGTGTTCTAACTTTATTATTTTGGGTTTTTGTGTTTAGTTAAGTATTTTATAAATCTTTACCCAAAGTTTTTTTTTTTTCAAGTAAAATTAAAAATATGAAGACTTTATTTGTGGGTTTTGGTATCCAGTGTTTAACTTCAGAGTACAACAAAAATCTCATTATAGCTAGTAATTTCATCAATGTAAATATCATTTTTATATGTGTTTAAAATTTGAAAATGTTTTATCACAATTCCTTGCTTGTTCAGATGTTTTATCATTAAAAAACTGGTGTTTGGGATAAGACAACTATATTTGTGTACTTTGCCTTATTTCCAGTCTAGTAGTTTTCTATAACAATATAAGATTTTATAATCCAGAAGGAAATCTGTTACAAAGTCTTAATAATGAATAATTGCTAATTATAATTTTCTATTTTGGGAGCCTGAAAAACATTTCAGATATGATTGGAGGAATTCAGGAATCCTTTATTTAAAATTTAATTGGAAAATAAGGAAATTATTCTTCAAAACTAAATATAAGAGCAGTCTGCCATTTTCCCAGCAACCCCTGCCCCACCAAAAAAATAAAATAAAATTCCTCAAATAAGGAGCAGCTGTATCTATGATGGACTTAAATGCTGGAGTTTACATGGAAATAATGATGCCTGGAACTTTTAAAAATTATTGGGCCAAAGAGGTAGTACCATGGGTAACACACTTGGCCTTATATATGACCTACCTGGGTTCTATCCCTGGCATTCCATATGATCCCCTGAACACTACCACGAGTGAACCCTCAGCACTGCTGGGTGTGGCCCAAAAACAAAAAGCAAAGATAAATCATTTAGCACTACAGGGGCGATAATTCAAGTGGCAGGATGCATACCTAATATACTCACTTGAATTCAGTCCCCTTAAGCACATGCTGTTCTGGCCCTAGGCTCCCTGCGGATTTGGTCCATGCCCCACCCCCAGCACCTCATGGCAGAGCACACTGCATCTTGGGGCCATACACTACACCAGCATCCTCTGATGATGGCCCCTAATTTTAAAAAATCAATAAACATCATTCATCAAATTCTTAACCCCTTTCATTTAATTTCAAATACTTTTCCAAAGAACAGTACAAATATATAATGGTTTTATTATACTACACACAGATGTAGAAATATTCATGCAGTATGTTACAAAGTTTATATAATTTTCCACAACAAAGCGAAGCTAGCTTTTGTGGTTTTTGTTTTTCTAAATGACAGAGATGAAGAAACAGATTTTAAATTCATAGGAGAATTTTTCTATCTAGATGTTCCAGATATAAAGAAAGACCATTTGGAGATACTTGAGTTAAAAATTTTACCCTTTAAGGTTGATCATAAATTAACTACTTTAAGAAATAGTAAAGTATCAATGACTGGATAAATAGCAGTACTCCTACATTAAAAAAAAAGAAGTATAAAGTTTGAATGTTTGGGTTTTGTTTTGTTTTTTTTTTTAATCAACTTTAGAGGAAAATACTAATCTCTTACACTCAGATTTGTTTTTAAGTTGATAGCCATACAGTTCTAATATTGATCATGTTAAATCTGTTACTTGGAATATGGATTGAGTTTGGAGCTAACTCAGTCAAGTATCCAGGAGATAGTGATAATATTTTTAAGATACCAGCAATCAGTTTGTATTCTGTATTCAAATACAGGTCACTTAAGAGCATACATGTTTATATTGTAAACAGATTATAGGTATAAGAATCATTGTTGGTGCATGCACAAATTAGTCATAATTGAGTTAGCAGTAATAAACTTCTGATAAACTGTGATCCTTGTATTTATTAAGAAATTTACATTCTAAATCAAAATTTTTTTCCTTTTGCAGGTTGGTATTCATGGGAAAGTGTTTTATTCTGTATTGTTTTTCACTGAGAAAAAAATATGTCCTAAACATTTAAAATATATTTGATTCTGTCAAGTATTTATGGTATTACTTGTAATTCTGGAAGAAGAAATTATTCCACCATTAGGATATTTCTAGCTATTGGAATGATTTAAATTTTTTACTATTAAGTATCTCATATAATTTCTGTTTTACTACTGTTAGTTTGATCCCTTTCAATGCAAAGCCATAAATTTAAGATTATTTCTTTACTCTGCCTATGTGAAAAATATGAATTTCTGATGTCTTTTAGGGAAGGAGTGTCCCAGGTGGTGCAGAAGTGCCACCAGCCTTTATCTAGAGACATTCAGTGCCATGGCCCTCTAGGATGTGCTCCAACACTATTCAGGCCCTGTGGCACCGGGGATACCCAAGCCACACCTGGTACTGTGGTTCTGGGAATTCCCTATGATGTCTTTGCTTTTTTAAAGCTATGTGCAATGAAGAAAATGTTTAACCTTTCTGTTAAATTTACTGTGTAAGGTGCTTGTTTGCTTTTAATACTAAAGTTTAATACTCACAATTTGAGTACAGTCCTAAATTTACTGTGTAAGGTGCTTGTTTGTTTGCTTTTAATACTAAAATTTAATACTCACAATTTGAGTACAGTCCTAATTTTGTAGGACTTTTAATCATCTGATATTGTGTCCTTATGGTTGTGCTTTGGTTTGGGGGTTTGTGTGTTTGTTTGGGTGGGGGTGGGGGTACAGGTACCACACTGACTCTGTGCTCAGGGATACCTCCTGGAGGTGCGCAGGTGACCATATACAGTGCTGGGGATTGAGCCTGGGTTGGCTGCGTTCAGGGCAAGTCCCTTTTGTTCTATCCTTTGAGCACCTGTATTTTCAAGAAATATCAAACTGCCTGAAGAAATTTTTTTTTTGTATTTATCTTACACTATGAAATAAGATTTTCCTTGAGATACTCTTCAAGAAACAATTTTTAACTAATTTTTGTCCTAAGTGTATAAAGTATATCTTTAAGAAGTGGGAAAAACTTTAAATCATCCCAGACTTATTTCCACATCTAATTCTTGAATTCACAGGTAATGGGATGGTAATACAATAGCTTTAAAAAAAAAAATCGGTGCTATGTGAAACTGTTGGTAAGTTCTATAGAGAACCACAAAGCAAGGGAGGAGAGATGGGATAAAGGTATTAGGGAACAGGAAGGGGTTAACTAGTATGTCAAAATACCTCCCAGAAATTTTTGATCAAAGACCTAAAAATGAAAAATAGTTAAGGGACAAGATATGTATCTGAAGAAAAACACCTCTCAGACACATAAACAAGAAATTATAAAAATGCCAACTCCCTGAGGTTGAAGCTGCTTTTTAAATTTTTGTTTATTCATTAATTTATTTGGTACAAGGAATAGCAATTGCAAGGTATATATAAGTAGTTAAGTCTGATAAAATATACAAGAGGGAAAATAGTAACTCAGTAAAGGGCCCAAATCTAATAGCTGTTTAAACCTTCAATTTAATTTGCAAATGTAATTTTTTATATTTTTAAAAGAGAAACTTGACAATTTTATATGTGTGCCTTAGCCTTTTTGACCTGTGCAGATAGAACATTTTTATAAACCTAATAAAAGGGTAGAACCTCCATCTGAGACCATTGCGAGCATGAATACATTTTCAATGGTTGATTTTACATGAGTCCTAGTCAAGGGTGTTTTTGGTTTGTGGGCTATATCCCATGGTACTCAGGGCTAAACTCTGGCTCTGTGGTCAGGATGCTACTTAGGGATCATATGTGCTGATTGAAGCAAGTTGGCCACATGCAAGGCAAGCACCCTACCCCCAGTTTGCTATCTCTCCAGCCCCAGTGATCAGGTTTTTACAAACTGCTTTGAATAGTACAAATTATTTTCTTCTTGATCAGTTTTGCTACTCAAATCTAATCGTTCCAATTTGTTCATGTTTGTTGTTTTCCCATCCAGACCAGTCTTTGACACCTTCATTCTTGAAATTTCTGCCATAATGAAATACTTTATAATTTCTCACTGAGGTTTTTTCCTCTCGTTGCTTAATCTGCTATAGTATATATATAATACTAGTCTTCCTAAAACTCTGCTATTGCTTATAAGATGCAACTCAAAACTTCTTAGCTTGCACTTCAATATTTTGCCCAATCTTACCTTTCCTTTGTTTTGTTTGTCTTTAATCCTGATCCATCTGTTTCTAATTTCCTATGCCTTTATGCCATTTTACCACCCCAATTCTCCCCTGACTGATTTCTTTACATTTTTTTAAAACTAGGCCAAAATGTTTCAGTATGCTTTAAGTTTTTCCTGACTTCACATTCACATGGTATGAACACCGTCTGTGTAGTTATTAATCTTGCTCTCTGAACATATCTGAGGGGTATAACCATTCATAATTGTTCCTCTTTAGTAGGTATATACCAACCTCCTAAATGTATAAGTAATATGAATAAAATCTTTTAAGTTTAAGGAACAAAATGAAAACTAGACAGACTAGAGATATTAAGCACCGATCTAAATATCAGATAATAAAGTTCAACTATTTTAGTTGACAGTGATAGAGTTAGGGTTTTGTCTCTGTTGTGAAAAGTAGATGTTTTGTAGCTGTGTTTATACCAGCCAGATTATATTTACAGGATTTTTTGCACTTTACAGATTATTTCAGTTTTTTTGGTACTGTAAAAGCAATTAATAAACGTATTTTTTAAAGAAGTAATTAATGTGTTACTGTGTTTTTTATGATGAAAGTTTGTAGGGGATTTGAAATGCCTAGTAAAAGACTAACCTAAGTGGCATGCTGTGCAGCTATATAAAACAATATAATGCGTCAGGGGCTATTCCTGATACTATGCTAGGAGATCACTTCTAGCAATGCTTAGGGAAGACCATCAGTGCTGGAGGTTGAACCAGATTCGGCCACATGCAAGGCAAGTGCCCTTATGCTATCCAGTCCTGTCTGTTTTGGATTTTTGCTGTCGTTTTAGTAAGCATGAGTGGGTTTTGTTATTAGGGGGAAGTCTGGGGAGGGGGAAGAGGGGAATTTGAAAAATATGTTTCTTGAAGCAGCTTACCCTACCACAAAATCATTCCCTTTAGAAACCTGTAAAAAGAAATTCTGCTGAGTTCAGAAAGTTTAGAAGTAGTAATGACGGGGAAAACTGAAAATATTTTTCAAGAGTCAAGTAAATTTTAAATCAAATTCGTTTCGGGGGAGCAGTGTACTCTTTTTTGGGGGGGTGGAGGGGCATGGGGTGGCTGATTGGACCACATTCAGTTGTGCTCAGGGTTTATCCTGGCTTTGCTCAGGGGTCAATTCTGGCAGTACTTGGACCATTTGGGGAGAGACTGAATCCAAGACAGCTGTATGTAAGGCAATAGCCTTAACCACTGTAAAATTTCTGCAACCCCTTTACTCTGATTTTAAAAGGAATTCAAGAATGAATCACTTTTTTATTAATGTAGGAGTACTGCTATTTATTCAGCCACTGATTAGCTGATTGAATTGGGCATGAACTCCACCTTTTTTATTTAATTTTTTATAATTTTATTTACTGAATCACCGTGAGAGCAGTTACAAAGCTTTTGGGTTTAAGTCTTGGTCATACAATGAAACACCCGTATTTTCACCAGTGCCCATTCTCCACCACCAAAGACCCCAGTATACCCCAATCCCACACTCTCCCCCTACCTATAGGGCAGATAATTCCCACATTACTCTCTCTACTTTGATTACATTCAATATTTTGACACCAGACCCACCATTATTATTTGGGATTTTACTCCAATACTCAGATCTGCTGAAAAGGCGACAGTAGACAATTTGTTTTCTGATGCTTCTTATGAATAACGTGTCATGTGGCTGCAGTAGTGGCCACGCGATTTTGAAATTCCGAAATTTTAACACTTAGATCTGGAAGGATTTCTGCCCAAACCTGCTGGGTTTTGTTCCTGAGTCTCTAGGATCATGGCTGTTAAGCAGCTTGATCAGGAGCCAGAAAGGCCATTAATGGGCGGCAGCTCTGGGTCTTGTTGGGATTGAGAGGTAAGGGCCGGCTCCACCCCCATCTCTTGAGGCCTTGCATGTCTCATCACTGAAGGCCCAATCCTGACTGTCCAATGGCCTCTGGAGGATGGCAACCACCAAGCTACCTAAGGGGAGCTGGCGAAGGGACAGCACCCTTTTCCCCCTGGAATGGCCTGGTGACAGTAACATATTGCAGGATCCGTACACATTTCATCCAAAAGCCACTGGGTTTCAAGATTTGTTTCTGAGTCTCTTGGATCATGGCCATTAAACAGCTTAATCAGGAGCCAGGCAGGCGGTTCATGGATGGCGACTCAGGGTCTTGTTGGGATAAAGAGGATAGGGTGGCTCCACCCCGAATCCCATGAGTCTCCGCGTGTCTTGTCACTGTGGGCCCAAACCTGATTGTCTAATGGCCTCTGGAGGATGGCGGCCACTGGGCCGCCAGGGGGAACAGGCCAAGACACAAAACCTATTTCCACCTGGAGTGGCCCAGTGCCAGTAACCTACTGCAGGGACTGGATGCATTTCTGCCAAAAGCCTCTGGGTTCCACAATTTGTTTCTGAGTCTCTGGGATCATGGCCATTAAATGGCTTTATCAGGAGCTAGAGGGGCAGTTTGTTGTCGGTGACTCGGGGTCTCACTGGGGTGGGGAGGAAAGGGCCGTCTCCACCCCCATCCCGTGAGGCCCCTCGTTTCTTGTCACTGGGCCCAAACCTGACTGTCCAATGGCCTCTGGTGGATGGCAGCCACCAAGCCGCCAAGGGGGAGCAGGCAGAGGGACAGCACCCATTCCCCTCTGGGGTGGCCCGGCGACAGTAACCTTTTGTGTGGTCCGCATGCAATCTGCCAAAAGCTGCTGGGTTTCAAGATTTGTTTCTGAGTCTCTGGGATCATGGCCGTTAAGCAGCTTGATCAGGAGCCAGAGTACGTTTGTGGGCGGCACCTCAGGGTCTTGTTGGGACAGGGAGGAAAAGGCTGGCTCCACCCCCATCCCATGAGGCTTCACGTTGTCTCGTCACTGTGGGTCCAAACCTGACTGTCCAGTGGCCTCTGGAGGATGGCGACTACCAGACCATCAGGGGGAACAGGCCATGGCACGAAACCTATTCCCACCTGGGGTGGCCCAGCGCCTGTAACTTACTGCAGGGACTGGACGCATTTCTGCCAAAAGCCGTTGGGTTTCAAGATTTGTTTCTGAGTCTCTGGGATCATGGCCATTAAGCAGTTCGATCAGGAACCAGAGAGGCCATGCCTCCTACTATATAGCTGAGCTGGAGGTGGTTTGTGGGTGTGTTTCCCACATACCTAACTTTTGGCCGTTTACTTTCTTGGTAAACTTTGCCCCGTTTTTTGGGGTCTGGCCAAAGGCACAGCATTAATTTTGGGATATCTGGAAGTCTGAAGGCGCCATTAAGCTGCTGATTCACTCGCTTCACAGGTACAGATTGACCTGCTGGTGGCAACATACTCCCTA